AAGTTGTTACTCTGACTGAAGATTTGAGGGTACTGGCTTTGTTCAAAGTGCTGATCAAGCCAGATTATATACTCTCTCCCAGAAAATGGTAGTCCATCAACCATGGCAATTATCAAATCAATCATAGTGACTATCATATCAACCATGGCAATTATTATATCAAGCATATCCATCATTATATCAACCGATATCCACTCAGGATAGTTGCAATATAAACCACAATTGTGTTCAGTTGGTGTCTCACAAACAAAAATGTGCTTGAGCAGGTTTCTGCAACAGGGATTGGTTAGCCATTCTAGCAGAAAAATGAAAGTAGTTAGCCAATCACACACACATATATATGTGTGTGTGTGTGTGTGTGTGGACTCTCCTATTGTATTGGATGTATGAGGCTCAAGCAGATCAGTTCTGAGGAACCAACAGCCAGACACCAGCACATATGATTTGATTATAGTGGGGAAGGTTTTGTGCAAAACCAACCACACATTTTGAAAGGCCAAAAACAGACCTGGTGCACTACATGCTGCAAGGTCCCCAAACAACCCTCCACAGATTTTGAATTCAGTACTGTCCTTCTCCTAGACCAATTGGCATCCAAGCCTATAGAATCCAGTCTGTCCTGTTATTTACCCATAGCTATTGGGAGAAAAGGATTCATACCCTTTCCCAAGGGTACTAGCATGTAATTGAATACAATTGATTCAACTGGAATTCAAATTTGGCTCTCAAAGCTCTTCAGTAAAATGAATAGACCACTCCAGCTGATTGGCATTTGTTTAAATTTGTAAAAACGGTACACTAGATTTAGCTATTTCACTCTGCCAAATGAAGATAGCTTAGTGGTAGAAACTCTGGCTGACACCAAATCAGTTGGGTTTTGATCTGGGCTTGAGGCATTCCATTGTGTAGCCGCACTGAGAAGCTGTGATACAGTGAAACAGTACTGTCTGCAAATGACACACACACACATATATATATATATATATATATATATATATATATATTATTTCCAGACATATTTTAAATCTTGAACTGAAGTTTAACAAAATAGGCTTAGAATGCTTAAAGTATGATGATGATATTATGAATTTGGGGATTTTTACTAAGGGTCAATTAAGAAAATGGCCCAAAGGAAACCTGATTGAAATACTGACTTGCATGATTTGAAGAATCCTTTTCTGAGGATGCATGTTGAAATGATTAAACAAACAGGAAGCAATGAAAAGACCCACGAATAATAGAGATCAATAAGATGAAAACCATGATAACTTTTTTTTTTTTTCCTTTTTGGCTGTAGCCAGGGATATAAATATCTTTGTCCAGGTTGGAAAAGCTTCAATATTTTCGATTAATTACAAAAGACCTTCTTGTTTACAAGAGAAGCATTAACGCTTCATGGAGCAATAAATTCCTGGTCAATAGAGAACCAATTCCTTTCCAGGTAAATGCACGGGGGTCGAGTTTCCTTAGGCAGCCGTCTTTTGTTCACTCAGCCAGAGACCATAATAAATGAAATCCATACAAAGAAAAAAAAAAAGGTTTCATCTTACTTCCATTTTTATTCATTATTTTTATCCCCAGTTTTATAATATCCGTAATGACTTAATTCCTGACATAATCACTTTTGTGTGTGTGTAAATCAGATCCTCTGTTAGTTAAGGATATGAACTTGTTTACTTCTTCATTAATTTTGGCCAAGATTTTATTTGTTTCAGTTCTATGATCACCAGAATAACAAAAGTTCCTAAATTACTCAACCCTTGCCTTTAAAAACTCTTATGTTTGAAGTGAGTATAACAAAAGCCATTGCATATGGGGAGATTTCCTGACAGCTGGTCTGTTTCAGGGGTTCAGGAACTTTGCTTGATTAAACTCTAATCAACTTAATTATTTCTGTCAAATTTTATCAGTAAAATAAAAATGGAGAGTAACTTGAGAAAGATGATGATGAAAAAAAGAAATGAGGAAAAACTGGTTTTCAATCAAAACTTATGAGATAAATTGTTTGGAAGAAGATAAATAAGGGAAAACTCGATCAGCTCAACGAGAATCAATTTTGAAAGAGAAATAAAATGGACAGAATAAAATGATGCTTTTCAAGATCAAAATCTAAAGAAGTCTTATTAGATAAGGTTGAAGAAATTATTTCTGCAGTAGAGGGGAGGGAAATAGCATGTATGAATATACATAATTGAGCATATTTGTACCTGAACATATATATCAATATATATATATATATATATATATATATATAGAAAAACATGAATGTGAAATGTTGATAAGCTGATATATGAAGTTGATATATGAAAAAATATAGTTTTAATCTATATTTATGGGTTAAAGTGCTTAATACCAGGGATAGAGCATATGTAAGTATAAATATAGACCGTGAGGTCAACACCCTGTGGCAACAGCCCATTTCATCCTTGGCCTGAATCTTCTGGCATCAATTTTCATTTTCATATATATATATATATATATATATATATATATATTCACACACACTTTTGAAAAATTATTTGAAAGAAAATTTTAGTATTTTTCTTAATCAATTTTCAAAGTCTGCCAAAAAAATTAATCTGAACTTGAAAGAATCACAACGTAAACTAATTATTTATCCAAACCTGTTTGAATATCTCTCTCCCTTATATAGACTTTGAAAATTGATTAAGAAAAATACCAAAATTTTCTTTCAAATAATTTTTATTTTCAAAAGTGTGTGAAATACATACATATATATATATATATATATATATATATATATATATATATATATATATATATATATATATGTGTAAATGGATAAAATCTGACAGAATGTAGAAATTTTGAAAAACAAACAAAATCCATAAATGTAGTTAAAATGAAAGAATTGTCGACGTCAGACGTTTCAGTTTTAATAAACCATTTTCAAGACAAAATTCATTAAAATACAAATTCAGTTCAATATGACGAAAACGATGGACATAAAAACACAAGTCTTATCCAAGAGTAAAACAGATAACTGAAAATTTTTAAAAAAGATCAGCTTTCCGTTTAACGTGATCACGCCGTAGTCACATGGGCGATGCTCCCATAACTTTTGTTTGTTTTTCAAAATTTCTACATATATATATATATATATATATATATATATATATATTTTGATTGAAAGATATCAAACACTTAAAATCCCATTGGTAAAAAGTTTTATTTCATGACAGCTCTAAAAAAGCAGTTCTCGGTCATCAAGACCTATAAATAAAATCACCCAATTTGTAGGTCTTGAAGATTGAGAGCTGTTTTTTTTTTTTTTTTTTAGAGCTGTCATGAAATAAAATTAATTACCTATGGGATTTTAAGTGTTTGATATTCTTTCATTAATAATAATTTTGGTCTATCTTTTGACATAGAGCTCTTTCTTGATCTATATCCTCCTGGAAATTCCATACAGATTAACATATCATATCATTATATGACAAAATGAAAAAGTTTTCTAGTGACACATTTCATTCTTTAGGATTCATTGGACTAAATTTTTTTTTTACAAAACAATTCATAAAATTTGTTGGTTGCTCACCTTAATGAGACTGACAACAATTTTGACATAAACGATGCTACTCTGATCAAAGGAGAAAACAATTCACTATGAAGAAAATGTCTAAAGAGTGTCTTGATCACAGTGTCATCTACAGTATATTTGTGCCCTGGCTTGAACATTTCACCATTCCTGGCAGTGGGGGATATGTACTAACCTATTATTCTTGATATATACAGATAGATATTATTATCTCATATATATATATATATATATATATATATATATATATGGGATATATATGGGAATCAACCTTTCTTTCTTTGATAAATTTCTTATTTAGTTTTACCAACATGAAAAAAAAATGAGGAAACATTAAAATACAAGACCATCAAAAGTAACAAAGCATAACCACCAACACCTATCATTAACACTACATGCACTGTTACCAACACTACCAGCACAACCACTCCTATAACAATTAACAGATTGATAAATCTATATACCATTATACCATATGCCATTATACTTTCATTTCCAGGCTAAATTTACCATTAACACATCAATAACTATTATTAACATATTAATAATAATTAATATTACAGTTATTTTCACTATCGGCATGATCATAATTGTCAATAGCACACAAGCAGATAGTGTTGAAAATACAAACATCATCATTACCATGTCCACAAACAGAATCCAGCTTAACCAAAGTGGTGGTGAAAGTCCCAGACCAATAGGAGCATATGTGCTCATTTACATGTGTGTGTGTGTGTGTGTGTGAGGAAGTGTAAGTTTGTCTGAAGGCACAGGCAGTAGATCTGAAAAGTGTCAAGAACCCCTCTACACACTTCTTCTTGAAAGGAACATCACTACATATAATAAAAGCTAAGGTCTCAGCACTGAAATAGAATTACAATAGTGTATGCATATATGCCCAAATGCATGGATATGTATCTGCACCTAGCCTTGGATTGTTTCAATGGATGTGTTTGTGTGAACTAAAATGCATATACCTATGTATGAGAGTGTCAACCAAAACAAACACAGAAGTAAATTACCCTCCCATCACCAAACATAGTCAAGCATAAATTCATTTTTAAAAAATAAAACAGTTTGTCTGATGATCGCAAAAGAGTGAAACCCAGGTTCACAAACACATATCCATACTACTGAAAATATATATACCCAAAGTCCTATCCAAATGTTTAATGTATTTTAAAAATATATATGAATGTAATTTGGTTTCACTACCCTTTATGGGCAGTATTTTCACTTTAAATTTCACCAGATTTTGACTTAGGACATGGTTTGACTGACCTTGCAACCACTTGATAAACATTCATGAACGTTCTCAAATTTAAAAGCCTTGATAAAACAATGACCTGTTCACCTTTGTATATAAACACGTGCAGCATAATAAATCCTACATAGACCTTATAAAGTTCCTCAGAGGATAAAAAGATTTGGCTAATTATAGTTTTCCACATTTTATTCATCTCTATCTCTCTCTCCATCTCTCTCTCTCCATCTCTCTCTCTCTCTCTCTCTCTATCTCTCTCTCTCTATCTCTATCTCTATCTATCTCTCTATCTCTCTATCACTATCTCTCTCTCTATCTCTCTCTATATGCACACACAATTTATTTTTTGGTAATATGTTTTTCATGGATACACTTATTTGAGTAAATGCTCTGTTTTTTAATTAAACAGTATTAATTACACTTACCCAACCAAACTCGCCAGAGGGAGGCTAAGCTATCTGGCCAAGATGAAAATAACTGAAAACAAAAAAAAAAGATGTAATAAATTCCATTTGAAAAGGCTTTTGCTGGTGTGGCAAAAAGTGCTCAATGCCATAGAAAACAGCGCTGCCACGATAGAGGAGCTAAAAAAGTGCTATACAATATTTTTTTTTTTCCTTTTCCGCTATTTTCAACTTGGCCAGGAAGGGTTTACCCCCCCCCCCCGAGCTGTTTTGTTAGTTCACCATCTGGTATTTGCTTGGTAGTATCAGGGTTACTATTTTATGAACTCCAGCTACAGACTGCAGTCATGGTTGGTCACCGCCCATCTGAGATTTGACATGCCACTGAGCACTCATTTTTCCAGTGTTTAATTTTAAAGAGACTCTTTTGGGAACTGCTGATCCTTTTTCTTCAAATGTATTTCATTATATATATATATATATATATAATCTCATTCTACTTAGCATGTAACAGTCTGTTGCCTCAGGATGTTGACCTTTATGTCCATTTTTATATTTATATATGCTCTATCCCTGGTACTGACCACTTTAGCCTATAAATATGGTATAGCTTAAAATTATATATATATATATATATATATATATATATATATATATATATATATATATATATATATATACCGATGCAATGAGAACGAAAGTAATATATAAATTCTAATGTTCACAGCATTAATCCAAAAGAGGGGCTTGATACCAGCAGTTGAAATGCACTGAAACAACATTGCATCTTTGTAGTGAGTAAAATGGTTTTGTCTATATGATAAAATTTATATATATATATATATCTTGACTTATGTAGATATTAGTTCAACCACTATTCATTGCATACATAAATCTATTCTCTCATGTTAAAAATATATTTGTTGATGTGCAAACAACAATGCCAACATATATGTTGTTAATGAGCTTGTTCACCCCTTGGTCACCTTGCCAGTTTGTAGTTAGAAATCTACAAGACATCAGAGCTTTCAGCGATGCAGTGTAGATTGTTAGTCTTGCCAAATGTCGCTGGTATTGGTGCTAAATACTAAAGCACTGTTATTGAGAACAAAACATGAAAATCAATGCCTCCATGGTAAGTGTGATTGATCGGAAGCCAACAAAGCATCGGCATCTTATCGTAATTTGGGTACAAAGGAGTAGCACTATTTTCTGCTGACTTCACTCCTTGAGAACAAGTGCATGGTTTCTTTTCATCCAATAAAGTACAGGCTTCTAGTTTTTGCTGACTTATTAAAAATTAACAAATTCAATTCCAAGGAGGTTTTGGCATTTCCCAGTGAATGTAATTTAAGTGAAGTACCTTGTCTCCTAATTCTTATTTTTAGGTCTGTAAATATATTGCTGTATATTCTAAAATCTTTTATCTCTCCCTTACTCTTCATTTTGCATACATGAGTCGCTACTAAATATTGGAGGAGTATGAACAGTACATAAAATTACATACTTTGGCTGCTACTTGTTATTACATTTAAAAGTGTACATTGAAGTCAACACCCATGGCCTGATGATTGAGTTTAGTATGAGACAGATTGTTGCCACTGAATGTTGACATCAGTATCCACTTTTGTATTCACTTATGCTCTATATCTGATATTGTGCATTTTAACCTATAAATATACTATACCTTTTAAAAGTAATATATATATATATATATATATATATATATATATATATATATATATAAAAGAAAGAAAACAGTAAGATATATTTATTCCATTTTTGAAACATGGTTAGAACTGTGTAGCAAAAAAAAAAACATTTTTAAATCAATTAATTTATATATATATATATATATATATATATATATATATATATATATATATATATATATATATATATATATATATATGTATATATATATAAATAAAGTTAAAGAACAAATGTAGATCAAATATGGATTGGAATCCCACAGGTTGATAAAATAAAGAACAAATAGGAAACATCTATCAATCTAATATGTTTCACTTATTAAGACTCAACTCATCAGAGATTGAGGGAAAATAGACAAAAGAAAGATACATTGGTATTTTCAATTATGTTTTCTATTAAAATTTACATAATTCTATATGTGTATAGGTTTGCGAAGATTCTTATATGTCTAAGCGGGTAACAGATGGTAATATGTATTTGTAATTGTGTATGTGTGTCTGTCGAGTGGGAATCCTATCTTCACCTTCGCTTAGTCATCTCGCACAGCAGGGCATCACAAGTTTCTAATTTATGGCTGACCTCTTTAAGAATCTATTATTTGTATTAGATATAAGTTAGATTTATGAAGAATGGATTCAAAGAAAGATGTCAATGTAATGTTATATATATATATATATATATATTTAAGAATCTATTATTTATATAGATATATATATAATATATATTATATATATATATATATATATATATATATATATATATATATATATATATATATAATATATATATATATATATATATATATATATATATATATATATATATATATATATCTATATATATATATATATATATATATATATATATATATATTTTTTATATATATATATTTTTCATATGGTTAAAGTACTGTTGATATATAAAATATTATATATAACTTTAATCATATATATATATAATCATAATATATATATATATATTATATATATATATATATATATATATATTATATAAAATTATATAGTTTATATTAAAAATTATATTATATATATATATATTATATATATATGTATATGGTCTATATATTATTATATATATATATTTATATATTTATATATATATATACTATATATAGTTTTTATATATATATATTATATATATATATATATATATATATGGTTATATATTTATATATATATATATATATATATATATATAAATTGAAAAAAAAACTTATCTTGGCCAATGCATTTTTCATTTGATAACAATTTCATTTTGTAAATTTTTAAGGAAGAATTTTGTTTTTTTTTTTAAATTTAGAAATTTAAGAGATGCTCATAAATATTCATCAAGCTAATTGGAAAGTTTAATTTATGGAAGATACTAAGGGACATAATTTAATAAAAAAAGTAAATTATTTTATTTTTATAATTTAATTAATATTTAAATTATTTTAGTTTGGGATTAATTTATGCAATATGTAGTTTAAATAAAAGGAGCTTATGAATTTAACTGTTTTAAAATCCTTACATTTGACTCAAATTCCACAAGCGGATGAAACACATGGGGCTAAGATAATCTTTCCTTTTGTCTTTATACTTATTGTCCTTTTACAGATATATTTCTAGTTGTATCCAAAAATTTTTCATACTTGCATGCATGCATGCATACATATATATATTAATAAAATATTAGTATATTATATATATATATATATATATATATATATATATATGTACTTGACTCTCCCATTGAATTCAATGTATGAGGGTCAAGCAGATCAGTTCCAAGAAACCAACAGCCCAACACCAGTACATGTGATTTGATTATAGTGATGAAGGTTTTGTGCAGGACCATCCACACTTTTTGAAGGGCCGAATACAGAGACCTGGTGCACTACGTGCCAGAGGGTCCCCGAACAACCCTCCACAGGTTTTGAATTCAGTGTTGTCCTTTTCCTATATATATGATGGATTTGGTGGAGGAGAGGTGTATTCAACAAAAAATTGAAAATTGCTTTTTTCACTGTCAATTATTCATTATATCATATCCATGTATTTTACAAACAATTAGAACTAATTACACAATATTTCAAGCTCGATTTAGGTTTATAGTTCATAATCATGCAATAAGATGAGATAACATAAACTGTAGATTTGACTGCAGAATATCATTACATTATTGTTACATAATTATAGTGAAACTGTTAAGGTTTTTTGTTAAAAGCATTTTATTTTTGGTTGTATATCAATTTAAATTAATCCTTTTTACATGTCTTGTTTTTGAAATGGAATAAGATTATTCTAAATTTTAGAATTTGATTATTGCCAATCAAAATGACTAGAAGAAAGTGATCTAAAAACAATGGAAAAGAGAGGTAAGTGTAAATAAAACAGCTCCAGTTTGTTAAACTTAGGAAATTTAGCATTGCAGCCAAAGTATTCTAAAGAGAAAATGAAAAATACCTCACAATAAATCGAAAATAGCATCAAAATTTATATTATTTTTATTTGTTATGTAACTAAATACATAATTGTAAACAATGTTTCCGTAAAACTTGAATTTTTCCTGTAATAAATTCTTAATAAATATTATCATTGTTATTATTTTACTGAAGTCTATAGTAGTCCAACATGTATGATTCCTTACGGCAAACCATGAAAAGAAATGTTGATCAAAACTGCCTAAAACTTAAGTGCATATTGCCGTAAAATTATATCAAATACAACCCTCCTTTGCCAAATGCATTTTTCCATTCAAGTATTTACTAAGCAAATATTCATGTATTAAGACTCTAATAGTAAGTAAAAACTAAGTATTACAAAAGACTACAAATGTAAGGTACTGAGAAAGAAAAAAGTTTACTACAGCAATTAGTCAGTGCTAACTGTTGTTCCATGGTGAGGAAGCATAAAAGATATTTGATATTAGAATCTTAATGCTTTTTATAAGTAAATTTTATTTCTTTTTGGACCTGTGGAAATTCTACAGGTGTTGACATCTAAGATATTATCATGACAATTACTTCTATAACTATTTCTCTAGCAGAAACGAAAATTTTAAATATATATATATATATATATATATATATATACATATATATATATATATACTGATGTTGTCTGAATGTTTAACATGTCATGAGAGCAGATTTTTTCCAAGATGAGGCATTAAATTTTTTTGTTATGGCTTTCACCAGTTTTTCAGCAACCTCACACTATCTCATTATCAATCAA